GAATGTAAATTACACTCTCAATCTTGTCCACTGATTTCACTTATAATCTTATATCTAAGAGCTCAAATTTTTTAGTAATGTGAGCCATTAGATACAAGTGGATCAATGGTCAAGATTGAGTGTAAGACTTCTAACTCTTACACCAGTGTAAGTATATATATATATATATATATATATATATATATATATATATATATATATATATATATATATGAGGTAGGATCTTTGACACCGGTCAAATTTGAAATTTGACCCCCCATCTTAGAGACGTTAGATCAAAAAAGACCAATGGTGTCACATGCTTACAAATCAGAGTCGTTGTTTTTTTTTGATCTAACGTCTCTCAGATGAGGAGTCAAATTTCAAATTTGACACCGGTGTCAAAGGATCCTGCCTATATATATATATAAGATTTTATGTTTATCATGTAACATAACACAACTTCACTTTCTTACACACACAACAAAAGGGAGAGACAAAGTAAAATAATGAAAGAGAAAGAAAAACTCGTGGACCTCACCTCTTTAATAAAACCCGTATATATATTAGACAACGTGAACTTGGTTCGAGGACACACAGTAACATGAAGTCAAAATATCATATTAGGACATGACACGGTAATCAAACGGTGAATTTTGGTGCAGCTTCTTGTTCTGTTTTAATTACAGGAAGAATCATTTAAAACCATTGATTTGATGTGATTTCTTTAATTTGCGGAATGAAAAGAACATTGATTATCCTCTTAATTAACTTATACATTGGATGTGAACATTGAGTGTGATTCGGTGTCACTAATTAGGCTTCGATGCTTGTGTTTCTTGTTTATTTGAAATATCATATGAAAAGGTTTCTATACATGGATAGTAGAATATTATGTCCAAATTACCTTTGAAATGACCTTTTAGTAACGTCAACTGTTTTGTGATATAAATATATGCGGAAGAGCTACGTGTATCTCCATATAATTGGTTTCCTACAAGGGAAAAATATCTTACACAATTTTTGTATTAAATTATATTTCAATAATTAAAAAGGAGTGCATAAATGCATTCTCTCTAATGAAAGTTAAGATTAAGCACTTTTTTTTCAATATTTATACCCCCTTTGATGCATTGTGCTTTATACGAAAAGATACATATTTTTTTTTTTCAAATAAAAGCTTATATTAGGAGAATATATGTTTTTATGCAAGGTGAAAGAACATTACAAATTTCATTCAAGATTTATAGTAAACTACATATCGCCTATTAAGAGAGAGATTAGATAATTGAATCTAAACCACAATTAGTGTGACTGAAAAATTCGACCAGGTATGCCAAATTGACAAGAAAACTTTCCTTTTCCTTTAAACATACCCCATATCTTTAAAAGAGATTATTATCCAAATTCTAAGATTAGGAGACTAATCTCTCATATACAGTGATGTTCTATATAATAAAGCTTGTTCTGCTTTCAAAAGTTAGATCCTTATTCAATTTGAGAGAAACCTTCTCTACCAACCTAAAAAAATCTTAGTGAGACCAAAGAAATAAAATCCCATTTGAAAAGAAAATAAACAATTGGATTTTTATTAGTTATTTAGTTTAATTTTCATTTGCATGATCCTTATTTGATTTATTTTTAATTAAACTAAAACTTTATTATTCATCACTCACGCTTAAAATTTCAACCATAGATCATTATTGACTCGGCTTCTTGGTGCCCTCTTAGCGAAGGGAGTGAGGCGTCAAACAATTCTTGGTTTCTCAATTGTTAGAGACGTTGTTTGACAAGACTTATGTTCGTGCATACGACTTTTCCATCGTTCACAAAAATTTTCTTGGATTAAATTTTCAATATCTGAACTTCATAAATTTTAAAACCTTACCGTATACGGTTGATTTTAACTTTGCATGTACACGTTAAGTATATACTTCAAATATTTTTAAGTATGATTTGGTATTGCATCCAATATGACTTATACGTGATGATAGATACTCTAATACTTAAATATTATATTCTCAAGTTACAAAAAAAATGTGGGAATGTCACAGTTAGAGCAGAGAAGTGGCTAGTTAATTAGTGTTGTTAAAAAGTTTATTAGAGGAATTGGTAGTAGTTGCTGGATGTAAATAGGAATATATGAGAGTAGTTATGGGTATTATTTTAATTTCATTAGATTTTCCTTAACAAAGTTTTAACGAGACTTTCATAATGTATAGTTATCTGGGGGAAATGTTATAAAATATTTATTTCACATATATGGATGATTTTTTACTATTCATATGTCTCATGATTGACGTGTAAATAATGACCTTTGATTTTTTTTTTTTATGACCTTTGATACATAATATAACTATCACCTTAATAATGTATTAAAATATAATCACTTTTTTATACATTTCTAAAATCTTATATAAGAATATGACTTCTATAAAAAAAAAATAGATGATTAAACAATAGGAATTTTCTTATATTCATATACTTACCAAGAATTATTCATGTTTTGATCTTTCCATATTTTCTATCATCACTTCCTTTCTTCTCTCGTATTCCCAATTAATTTTGGAAATAGCAACAACAATAATCCTAATAATAGTAATAATAATTCGTATTTACTGAAACAGAAACCATCATGTTGTGTTACGTTGATATCTATGTTTTTTTTGTTTTTTTTGTAATATATGTTTTTTTTTTTTTGGGTTCTATTATATATAATGGAGAGAATGACAAATTGAGGCATGAAGTGTGGGCCGTAGTTGACTGTGGCGACAGCTGTACATGTTCTGAATGCTGCCTCTGCCACTTTTTCCACGTAAAGAATACACGTAAGTTTTCTTTATCCAAAGTTTGGCTGCAAATGCATGAACTGGTCGACTTATTGTCATGGATCATATCTGAACTTGAACAAGTTGCCACTTACTAATAAACAAGCATAAATTCAGTGGCAAGAGCACAAGTTTCATATGAATATATAGCACGTACTCATAATTCTATCATTCTATGTGTCGACCCTATATATATGGTCCGAATATGTTTAATTCTTGGCCTGTTGGGATTATTAGGCTGAAAACGTGACAAATAAATCAAACCAGAAAAATTAATGAAATGATTTTTTCACATGATTTTTGGTTTTCATTATGAAATCTAGTAAAATAATTTATTTATTTTTAATTTTTCTTTTGGGGGTACTCATTTGCAAGTTTTCCATATAAAAATTACATTGATGTCAAAATCAAAACTAAAAACAGAAAAGTCAATTTCAGAGCATTAACAAAAAAGAAGGTAAATAGTTATGAAAAAAAAATTAATGAATTTTATTTCTCTTACTTGACAATTGTGAAATTAAGTAGAGCAATGCAAAATGTTAGACAAGATATAGAAAGAATATTGTATCCAAAAAAAAAAAAAAAGATATAGAAAGAATAAAGGGCAGCTTGATATCATTTTTGGTAAGTTGATTGTCTTTGTTTTGTGTGAGAGGGATATTATTTTTTCCTTCTTAATTTGGACAGTATTTACTCCCTATTGTTATTGTAATTATATACTTGTTTATGCCACGTGTGCGATAAAAAATCAGACATTGTTCAAGCGTATACACTAAACTTATTTTTTAAGGGAAATGTTATACTTTCCACTTTCTTTCTTATCATTTCTTATAATTAATCTTGTAATCGTTGGATCAATATTTTGTTCTTTGAGTAAGATTATTTGGAGAAAATAGTATTGGGAGAATCATACAATGAATTTAACATTATTTGAATAAGATTAAATTGACTTAGATAAAAAAAATTATATTTGGACAAGATGTTATATTTGATTGCATGAGTGTGGGATGTTTATGAACAAATTTTATATTATTATGTTAATATGCTTATTATGTATGTATATGTGATATATGTTTTATGAATTAACAGTATTACCCCCTCATTAATTTTCTTTTTGTTTGATAATACTCATTTGTCCTTATCTTTTCTTTTGATAATTTCTCACTCCTTATTAATTTATAAATTGCTAAGAGATAGTTTATATTAAGGAAAATTGTCAACAAAAAAAAAATTGTTAGAATAATGCTCTCTAGCTATCTCTCTCTCTCTTGACCGGACAACAAATGTATCAAACAACTCAAGGGGGCAAAGGATATCCAAAGATGCCAAATTTAAAATGATTTCGGGAGCTTAATATTAAATAAACATATAATATTTAGTTAATGTAACCTCAAGAGGTAATGTGTGTTCAAATCATGCAAGAATCATCGTAATTCGGTCCATTAAGATTTCACACATCAGTTGATGATATCTAAAAAACTCAGTTGTTTGTTTAAGTTTAAAGCACAACTTAAATAAGGACATGATATTACTCTATTAGCTTTATCACTCTAATTAACATGAATATATATATTCACATGCAAACGGATCCCACCAGATTCTAGTTGTTAATTTGGTGTTTTTACTCCAAGTTAGATGTTCCTTTTCCACAGGTTTCCCTCCCTAATATTAATTTTAGATTTTGAATTATATTCTCTTTACTTTTCTTCATTTAGTGAAATTATTTGCATTCTTCACGCAACTTTCTTATTCTTAGTCTACAATAATTTGTAGTGGAATGGTCAGATAATTAAAAAAGAGGCAACTTTTCTAATTTAAGGGGGGATGTTTATGCACACCACTTGTATGATGTGAATAATGGCACGTGTAATCTCCATATATATAATGGACACATTCCAAACATGCAAGGAGAGTGATGCATGATAGAGATAGAAATTGAACAATTTAGCAAAACAAAAACTATTAAGATTCTCATATCTGTTCCCCGACTTCCCCAATGAATCATCTTGGCCTTTCTCAACACTCTATTTCACCACCTTTATTAACCTCTTCCCTTGTCTTTCCCATTCAGTGATATCTCTTTTCTCTTCACTCTCTCTCTCTCTCTCTCTCTCTTCATAGCCTCTATTGCCATATCACTCTTTCAGCCTCTTGCATAGCACAAAATATTTAGCAGTTTTGTGCACTTCAAACATGCTAGTGCCTCATCCACCAATGCTTCTTGCACCTCAAAATACCAAAGAAAATGACATGAAAGAACAGAAACTGAGTATTGATGCATCTTTATCTAACATACCCTCCCAGTTCATATGGCCTGACCATGAGAAGCCATGCCTAACACCACCAAAACTCCAAGTTCCACTAATTGACTTGAAGGGCTTTCTCTCTGGAGATCCACAAGCCATGTCAACTGCATGTTCAGAAGTGAATGAAGCATGCAAGAAGCATGGCTTCTTTCTTGTTGTTAACCATGGAGTTGATAGTGACCTCATAGCTCAAGCTCATAAGCTCATAGATGATTTCTTCTGCATGCCTTTATCAGAGAAGCAGAAGGCTCAAAGAAAGCTTGGAGAACATTATGGTTATGCTAATAGCTTCATAGGAAGGTTCTCATCCAAACTTCCTTGGAAGGAAACACTTTCTTTTGGTTACTCTACAGATAAGTCCAGCAAAACTGTGGAGGAGTACTTTGTAAATGTTATGGGTGAGGATTTCAGGCAATTTGGGTAAGATAGAATAGAGTTCTCTTTCATACTTATAGTTACTCAGTTTTAAAGGTCTTAACTTTCAGTACTTCAAAAGTGTTTTCTCCTTTTTCACAAGAAATGCTTATTTTACACAAAAAGTTTTTGTTATCAATCATATGAAATTGTTGTGTTAGTTAAACCATTGATAGAATTAGCTGCTACATCAATTCTATAAAATTTTCCTCTGAAAAAATCCAATTCTTTTCCTTTTGTTCATTTTTAACTTTATTTCTCTTAGGCTCAGCACAAACATGAACATGAAGCCCATATATAAAGATTCACCAAGCAGAATAAATGCCTTCACCCCTGTTTGTTTTTTCTTCATTTAAAAAATAAAATAAAAAAATTTCACATAATGTTTCCATTTTTTATAGGACTGTGTACCAAGACTACTGTGAAGCCATGAGCAATCTCTCCCTTGGGATCATGGAGCTTCTGGGGATGAGCCTAGGAGTTGGCAACAGATATTTCAGAGATTTCTATGAAGGAAATGACTCTGTAATGAGACTAAATTACTACCCACCATGCCAAAAACCTGATTTAACTTTAGGAACTGGTCCTCATTGTGACCCCACATCCCTCACCATTCTCCACCAAGATCAAGTTGAGGGTCTCCAAGTGTTTGTGGATGAAAAATGGTACTCAGTTACTCCTAAAGAAGATGCATTCGTTGTCAACATTGGTGACACATTTATGGTATGGATCATATTATTAGAAGGTTCTCATATTGCTTTATGGATGGTAATTGAAAAATTCACTATATTATATTCAGTAGGTCCATAATGTCCTAGAAATAATCGAATAACATGCAACACTAGATACACATGTTATATTCTTCACCAATTCTTAGGCTTATGTAATGAACTTGAAATGATAATTAATATGTTCTGATTTATATTTCAGGCTCTATCAAATGGGATTTTCAAGAGCTGCATGCATAGAGCAGTTGTAAATAGCAAAATTGTGAGAAAATCACTTGCTTTTTTTCTATGTCCAAACATGGAAAAAGTGGTCACTCCTCCAAAAGATCTCGTTAACAAGGAGAATCCAAGAAAATATCCAGATTTCACATGGCCAAGTCTTCTTGAATTTACACAGAAGCATTACAGGGCTGACACAAGAACCCTTGATGCTTTCTCTATGTGGCTACTACAAGAGAAAAACAACTAATTAAGGGTGTCCCCACCTGTGCCATTGCCAACAAAAATATAAACTGAGTTTTTTTTAACCTCTAGAGGGTGCTTTTGGTGGGTCAGTGAGGAAAAAGATATATAACAGAAACACCAAAAAGAAAAAGAAAAAGAGGCCAAGTCTGTAATTAGCTGTTAAGAGTGGAAGTGTTTGGAAGAATCCTAAATATGCAAATGGAGGAAATGAAGAGATATTCGTAGGAACAAAGAGTCCAATGCTTGTGTAGTGAAGTTATCCTTTGTCACGCTACTAAACCACTATTAGTTGTCTTGAACTTTCTTGTAATTATATGTCTTGTGCATGTGTGTGTGTGTAGAACTTTTAATAAAAAAAATTATGTAAGTTGCATTTTGTATGTATTCAGAAATATATGATTTTTCATTTGAAATTTTGGAAAAAAAAAATAGTTAATTGAAATTGAGACTTTATTCAACTCCGTTCAAATCATAAACAGTCAATTGATGGACAATTCAGGCATATGGAGAGCAATCTCTATGGCAAGGGTGGCAAAGCGGAAGGAATTAATTTGATTTGTCTACCCCTTTTAAAAGTGGGTTGAAAAATTTGAAGGTAAAAGTTAAAAAAAAAATTAAAAAAATGAATTTGATGAGTTAGGTGGGTTGAAAAATTTGAAGGTAAAAGTTAAAAAAAAAAATTAAAAAAATGAATTTGATGAGTTAGGTGGGTTGAAAAACTCGATCCCTCACCATATTTGGGCTCCATTGGACCCAATTTATTTTGCCATCTCAGTAATATGTTGAGATAGCTCTCAACTTCTTATGGCGACTTAACAATTTTATTTTAATTAGTTTGAATTCAGAGTTTAAAACAAAAATAATTAAATTAAATTTCTTCCTTTTCAAGAAGCCAGAAAAAAAATCCTCTAGGATCTAGGGTATATTTTTACCTCAATCAAATAATTACTAAGCAAAACTATTTTAGTTCTCCTGCACCTAATTAAAGTGATCAGCAACGTAATGAAATTGAACAATTTTCCAAATTCCTATGGAATTTTATTTTCATCTAATAATTTTATTTTCATCAAATTAAAGTGTTTATTTTTTTTTCTGGTTGTATACTTAGCTTGTTAATAGACGCCAAAGTTATAAATACACACACACATTATCCATTTAATTATATCAGGTGAGAGAAATTAATCCCAACGATTTACGTAAGATTTAAGTATACACTTTATGTTATCCACTTTTAAAGTATGCAACCTCTACAATGAAATCGTTAGAATCAAGAAAACAATTAAAATTTGGATCAGGATCATCTACAAATATTTTATAACCACATTAAATTTCTGTCTATTAAATATGTTTCATTGTATGATTAAGTTTTTTTCTTTTTTTTCGAAAGTGAAATTAAGTAAATTGAATGGTAGGATCATAAACTCTATTCACATAACAAGTTCCAAGTGTTGTGTTTCAACTTTTGCATTATCAATGACTACGGCCTCTAAATAAAAGTAATGATGATATGATGACGATGATAATAATAATAATAAGGGATAGGATATTATGCCTACATTTTTTCATATTTATTCCACTTATTCTTTTCCAACACCATTAAATCAAAATCTCAACTAACCACCCTTTCAAATTAAAGATAACATAATAAACAAATATTAACTTAATTGATAAGATTGAAATATATCAGTCTGATTTTGTGTAAATTTAATTCTGCTCGTGATGTTTTGTTTAAAAGTCACCTATAAACTCTTATTGAGGCATATTTTCACGACGTCAATTTCTCAGTTTTCTTCATCCTCTGCCAATCCAAACTAGCTTTAATATTTGTAAACATCACTCACAAACACATGGACATCAAACGAAATAATCCATGACTATAGTTATCAAATTTTGAATATGACTTTTTTAAACTAAAATTTGAAATACACACAGACGCACGTGTTGTTTGTTATAACAATGTGCTTTCAAGTTCAACTAATGAATTCGATTTTATGTGAATCTAACATGATAGGATATAATTAATTAATGAATTATTTCTTGTAGATAGAGACCAGAGAGTTAGAAGAATATATAATGTTAGAATCGCGTCACACACAACTTCAAAACTCACCGACTGAGGTTGGACTAGTGTTGGATATAAATCAGTTGCTTTTATATCCAACACGACAAAATGTTACTGTAACAATGAGTTGGACATTGCTCGCGAATAAGCCATTCATCTTAGCAACCGTTTGTTTTTAGCATGACCGATCGAGTTGTTCATGAATCTAGAGTAGGACCATATTATATATACCATAATTGGTAATTAATGACATATATATATATATATGTGATTTTTCTCTGGAATTTATAATGTTCCAAGTAAACACATATAATACCAAAACTTATTGGAAAATTCTTTAATTAATGAAGACATGATCTTGTTACTTTTAATTATATAGTTATGATTATCGAATAGGTCATTATAATTCCACTTGATGGAATTCTATCACATAAAAAAATAAAAAATTTGATTACTGTGAGATTCATTCTTTAAGTTAATTTATTAATGCTGTACGGGATGTTATCCATGAGTAGTATAGAATCACACAAGGTTTGTTTAACTCAAGGCTTTAAACAAAGCACAACAGAAACGACAAGCCAACCTAAGGCCTCAATATGTCTAAGAAGAGGGTGGATTATAAAAGATAAGCTCAAAATCATTTAGGTGGTGTTTGAAGCTTTTCAGCGGATATCTATGTTTTTCAAGTATGGCTTTTAGAAACACCATGTTTGTTTCAATGTATTTTCACCAAAAACCCATCTATTCAATTTGTATGGATTTATGAGAAACATAGATATCCGCAGTGTTTAGAAACCCAATTTGAAGGTGGGATTTTTCGGAAAATCGGTTATCTGGCTTTTAATGCACTGTTGGTTTCATAAAGTTACCTAATTTTTCCAGTAAAGTTTTTCTCGACCAAACAACTTTTTTTTACATTTTTCTACCTATCTCACTTTATCTATCTTTCCAATTATTTCTCTATCTATTACATTTTCCTACTATTCCAAAAAAATTTCCTCAACCAAACACCTCTTAGAGTATATCATTTGAAGATAGTTCATTCGTAAGAGATATATAAATTAAATCATTTATAGATTTACATATTTTCAATCTTGGCAATGACTATTCATTTAAAATTTCCCATTATTTGAGTCAAACAATTAATTATAGCTTCAATTTCTTGTCAGATATAGAAAGACGAATGTCTAACAGGATGCCAATTACCAAAGTTACCGTTTATTTTATAACTAATAAATGGATCAAATATATATTCTGTTTATAACATATCTATCTTACAGAGTAAATGTCATTAATTAAGGAGTGGAGACAGTGCTGGCAGTTGCAAAACCTCAGCCACGGTCAAGAAAATGCAAGTCAGCGAACTTTCCAGAATAACCTTCAACCGTTCTAAAATATTTCAAAAGTGTTTTTCTAATGATTTTTATTTTATTTTAAAAAAACCCTTAAAAGGAATAGACTCTTTAAACCCTATCCTGTTGCAAATTATAATTTGACATATAAAAGTAGGAAAAAATATTTCAATTTTTATTGTAAAAATATTTTTTATATCACACTCAAATAAAAGTCAATGGAACCATTCACTTTTACGTGAACGTGACATAAAAAAAAATCCATAAAAGTATGAAACTTTTATGTATGAAAATGTGGCATAATCAAGAAGAAATAGATTCCTGTGAAACATTGAACACATTTATTTCAATATTCACCTTCACAAAGCACAACCCAATTATTTCACACCTACAATAGGCCCTGTTAAAAGTGAAATGAATGCATCTCACTCCCTTGTCCATATATTGTCTTTGGGCTTCATATTGTCAATAAAAGATATTGTGAAGAATGGGGAAAAAAAAGTACAAAATTAGTTGCAACTTCTTTGATATTGGAAATCAGCATAGAGTAAAATACAAAATCTTTCTCTTCCTGAACTCAGAAGGATCTAGGCATCTAGCAGCCAAAGTTTTGGGGTCTCATAGCACCTTCCATCATTTGAGCATAATGAATGTAATTCGTTATCTTGAAAAACATGTCAGTTTCATTTCATCAACACAAAAAAATAAGACTACAGCTTAATAAAGCTTACATGGTATACCCAAAAAAAAAAAAAAAAAGTATACATGTACCTCACATATCAACTGAGCCTACTTCAAAAGTTAATGATGTCCCAATTATATATGGGTGAGGAAAGTGAGTCTCTAAAATGCAAAAGTTGATGACATCTTAGCCTTAGAGGATCTAGTTAGCAGTTAGCAGCTGACTTTTATGTTCGGTAAGAAGCAGAGTCATAACTATTCATAAGAAGTGGGGAAGACATTTTATTTTATTTTATTTTTGGGGTATGCAAATGAAGAAAAAAATAGGGCATAACTTTTTCTTGTTCTTCTTTTCAATATAATACACAATGAGTGGTTGTTTTTTTTAGACTAATAACTGATGAGATAGCAGGGTTTGCAAAAGTAGCAAACACAGTTAAATGAAAGGGACTAACCTTTTCGATAAGCATTTTAAACATTAGAATTTCACTTTCCTCTCACAGCATAATAAGTAGGGAATAGGTTATTTTATCTACCATTTTTTTCGTCTACCTTTGCCTATCACTCTCCAACATCGTTAAATCAGAATCTTAATAAGAGAAAGAAATAATAAATGTAATTGAGATTCTGATCCAATGGTATTAAAGAGTGGTAAGCAAAGGTAGGCAGAAAAAACGGTAGGTAGAATAACCTATCCCAATAAGTAATGGACCAAGCATTGTCCTAAGGATATGAAAACACACAAATATAATAAATATATGCTTAATAACATTTAATAAATAATTTAAAATATAATAGAAAAATGCATACCTAAAATTGTAAACGACGCTCTTTTAAACTGACAAAATCTCCAAGGATAGAATCTCGTAATTCTTGAATAAGTTACTTTGTACTTTAAACTAATTGTAT